GACGTCTTTCGGACGTCATTTTATGTCAATGGGTTAGTGAAACAGGACCAGTTCGTTACCAGGGCTATCATTCTAGAGAACTAGGTGGTGGAAGAGCAAGCGCAAACTCAACTGGGGGGCTAGAAAATATTTATCATGCCACGGAGGAAGGACACATTAAGAATTTGTAAAGTCTGTAAAATCTTTAAACATGTTTCTTTCCGTGCCATTCATTTTTATGACTTAATTCGCTTCCATTGCAATCTAGTTGTGAACTCAAATGCTAAAAGACCATTATGACTCAACTTGTGTATTAAGTTGCTTACGCAAAGTATCCAGGTCTTTGTAAGGTCCCAATCACACTATGTTTCGGCTACGCGGGACGTCGAAAGGGACAATTCTCAGAACCCGCACAATTCCAGGAAACCCAAGTAGCTAGGTTACCTTTTTCACTTACTACAAAGAATTGAACTCCAAACACTAATGGATTATCGCTCAGATTGGGATCACGTGATGCTTTCGTCTTTCAGCATAAAAGCAGAACTTTCGTCTGATTGGTTGTCTCTACTCGGGATAGATGTCCAGCCGAGACATAAATTTGAAAAAATCCCGCGTAGCCGCAACATCGTTTCCGTAGCTAGGCGGGACTTCGCTTTAGGCGGTGATCTTTATTCTAGGAATTCTCCGGTTTAAAACAGTGCTACCAGAATCTCAGAGAAGTCCAGTCTAGCAGAGACTGTAGCCAAGTGTGATAACCTCTTAAGAAATAAACATGTTTCTGTGTTCTGATGAATTAAACCCGCACGTCTGGAAATTTCTAAAGTTCTTTAATTAGCAATTAATTTGTTCAAGAAAGAGACGATCATCGGAATATCATCTGGGCACCTGAAACCAAAGAATAATTTATCGCTTAGGAAGTCAACAAGCTGAAACTCGAGGCGAAGAAGCAGAGATCTCCCTCCTGCTGTCACGTAAACATGCATGTTAGATGTTAGTTTCTAGTTCTGCTTGCATGTCTGCTTTGATGCATGTTGTGTTTACCGACACATTTCTTATCAGTGTTTGGCATTATCTCGATGTCGTAGTGTTTGCTTTCTTATAGAGGATAACATTTTCCATTTGATTGATGTTTGCATTCCGTATGCTTAATGTTCACGCAAAAAATATATAAAACTACTAAACTGAAATGTAAATAACTCACGTATTTCAAAAGCAGTATAAAACTTTACAAAGCATATATGAGCTCTATTAATATTTTTAAAAAATGTTAATTAAACTGTCTTAAAAAAGCGACATCGAGAAATTTTAAGACGGTCATGATTTCGAATCAATAATATACGTAGAATGTTAATTTATTAAAAGTTCAGCTTATTGAAATCATATTGACTTTTCTTTTCAGAATCAGAAATTACTTAAGATAGTTTTTTTCTGAAAAATTATAATTTTGCTTTTATTTTCTGACATAATAAAAATTAAATTGAATTTCTCTTAAAAACAGATGTTAACTGTAGAAATTGGTTTATTTCCTTGTATGGATGATTCATCATCATATTGGTAAGATTTTTGCCCTAGGTAAAAAATGAGTAATTTTTTTAGCTTATTTTTCTACAGAAATATGTTTAATTCAGATGCATAGTTGTGTTGTTAGAAATATTAACTTCAGGCTGTATATAGCATCACCGTAACACATAACTTGTCAAATTAATTTTCAAACAAGAATTATTAAGTAATTAATTATGGAAGCCAAAAAAAGACATATCATATTTTAGATGGAAAAATTATAATATAAATATTGATCGTCAAAATTAGTAATATTTTAAAAAGTTAAAGAAATTATAAAAGATTTAGATACATTAGGTAATGCAGTACCATAACATTTAAAACCGACTTCAGAAACATTCTTAGAACTATAGAATTTCAGAAATCCGGAATTATGTGCTAGTATCTTCGTCAGTACACTAAGCAACAATGTGGAAATGTACTGTTTTTGTAATTTATTACAATTTAGATTTATTAGAAATTATCCTTAATATAGTTAGTTTGTTTAGTACGAAACCCTATCGTTTATTCCAACAACGTACATAATATATTCTTCGATTTATGCAACTAAAAGTAAAAATGATTTTACTAATGACTTTTCTCATTTATAACACAGCCAAATGATTTATACTTTTTCTATTACATTTAATAATTTTAAAGTGACCTTGAATTTAATATTTCTAAAACTTGACGAAAATGTTTTGAGTGATTAATAGTATAACAACAAATCCGTAAACGATCAGCAAATGATGAATTAACATGCACGTTTCGAAGCACAAGTGACGTAACTCCAATTTTTACGAAAATAGAATTAAAATATTTTTTGGAAGGCCGAAACAAACTTCCAATTTCTTAAGTAAATAACTCCTAAAATTACAACTTTTGCCCGTAGATGAAATGAAACCTTTTTTTTTTTTTTTTTCCAGAATGACAAAGAAACACATCCATTTGTTTGTAACACGGATTGCCTTTTAATCATAGTCATTTTATCCTCAAGCACAGCTTACCGTCTGAGGCGATACGTTTTATTTGACAACGCAATACTTCGAAGAAAGAGCTGCTGATTAGCATGAATTACTGTGCGAGAAAGTTAGATGGATGCAATCTGAAAGGGCCATTTGTCATGAAATTTAAGGAAAGTCACGAAAGAAACGAACACTCATTTCATTCGAGACATTTCAATAAATTCAAGCCAGGCAGACCTCTTCAAAGTGTAGAAGCTTCGAAAGAAGAGCTAGTTTAAAAGATCTCGAGTGACGGGGCAATTTTTAAGAAGAAAGACATATTTAAGGTTCTTTAAATATATTTCTCCTCTGTAAACTGTAACTAAAAACTTGCCAACCTTTTCCTCGTCTTTCACATAGCTCACGAAATTCAGAATGTAGAGTCATTAGGATTTTCGGAAGCCGAAGAGATGAAAAATATGCAACCGCCTTTGCCGTGAATCAAACCACGGACCTCTGGAATACCGGGCCCAGCGTGCTACCGTTACACCACGAAGGCACGCTAGGGAAGTGGGATAAATACCTTATATACTCCCTTTTTAAAGGCGATAGGGGTAGGAGACTACTAGCGCGAAAAGGGGTGCGGAGTCATTAAGTTAAATAGAAGCAGAAAAGATGAAAAATATGCAACCGCCTTCGCCAGGAATCGAACCACGAACTTCTGGAATACCGGCCTAGCGTGCTACTGTTACACCACGAAAGCACGCTAGGGAAGTGGGAGAAATATCTTATAAGATGACGAGAAAAACGGAATGCGTTTTGCTAATTTATTCCAGGCTGACCGAGTATTACTGAAACTCTTAGGCTGCGTTCAGACGGCGACACGAATGTCACATAGTCACAAGGAAATAAAATGCAGGAATTCCGTTCACACCAGTGACACAAGCTCTAAGCCGCACCCACTTACAGAAGCTAAATTTGCGCATGCGTGTATGTGTTTACAGCTTTCCCGCTCTGTTTTCCCATTCAAGTTTCGCGCGTTCGCTCTGAATTGTCGACGCTTATCCCAAGTCGTCATAAAGTTGAAAACTTCGAACTTTTTGCCAAGAGCCCTAAACTAGATTTTGTGACGTAGCACAGACTGGTTGCCTGGCAACGCAGGTAAACCGCCGTCTGAACGTTCGTCATACCGCTGTCTGAACGAAGATTTAGAACACATATTAAGCAATGCGCTACGTTTTGATTAATACTGTACTTTCTAAGCCATTTCTTCGCGAATGAATTTAAAACATTTCAGTTACTATTATTTTGTAAAGATTTTAGTGTCCCAAATATTATTTACTGTATTTCTAACAAATGCACCGTGTCTCAAAATTTTTCGAGATGGAGTTACGTTACCTGTGCCAACTCATACTTAATGCACTGCAGTGCCACAGAAAGTTATCAGAATTAATATATGTATCAGTTTTACAGCTAATATTTTTATAAAAAATGATGCATGGACTTAGAAATACATAAAAAACATACCAGAATGTATTATTATAATCATAATACACATCAAAGAGAAATAAGACCACACGTTATTTGCCGCACTGATAGGAACGAAAATTTACTTCTTTCTTTTCCACGTACTATAAGTAATGCCAAACCTTTTTAATAAAAACCCAACATTAATTGATTGTTTTTGATTTGCTTAATTCCATCATTATAAATAGTATTTCTAAATCATATTACTTTTAGATTCAGATTGTTCGTGTAGCACTCGAAAAACTATTTTAGAGAACTTTCGAAAAATTTTCGAATTCTGAATTTTTATTAAAATGATTCAAAATTAATTTACACATAGCTCAAACTCCACCTACTTACTGAGCGTGAAAATAAATAAATATATAAAAGACAGTCTGTAACGTTTTAAAACAGAATATCTATAAATTGGCATAAAAATTTATCATATTGGTAGGATGTATTACAATCTTATTTTAGATAAGAATTTTTAGAAAAATTTAGACTTAAATAATATAATATTTTGACACATGTGTGGTTGATTGTTCATTAGATAGACGACGTTTTAATTATAGTTTAATTTAGACAGGTATGAAAGGTTAGATAAGTATCAGAATAGTAATACTTCTATTAGAAATTCCTAGCTAACAAAATTCTAGATGATATTTCATTAGCTTTTATGAAGCATGTTAGTTCGATTTACACTTGCTTCAATTCGTTGTTTCGTGTATAACAATTTAGCGAATGTTCTGCATGATACTTTTTTTGTACAGCTGTCTACATTCTCCTCTTTTACCTACACAAGCAGTACTATATGCTGTATGTTGGTGTTGTATTTTCTTTCTTGTAAATGTTTTACACATTCTTTATATTTGAAACATTTAAACAAGCAAATTTATCTTTTCTTTCTGAATTGCTTTCATCATTTCAGTTTCATGCCTAATTTGTATGAATGGTATTTTCGCTGAAGATTTTCATTTACTAACAAAACGGAAGGAAGTTTTATCCAAATGTTTATCTTTTTTTCTTTTTCAGAGATGGAGTCGAGATGTGCCAATCATGGGCAACCAACACCACCCAACAGATAGACTTAGCGCTAAATATATTTTTTATGGTCTACTTTTTTATACGTGTAAGTACCAGCACGTTATATTCGAAGTGAATGGGTGAATATTAACAAAAGTCATAAATATAAAACTAGTACTAAATTCATTACCTCAAGAAGTTAATTTGCTGGACTCTTCTGCTTCTGGCGACTGCAGACTAAGACCAAAGAATGAACTTTAAAGAAATCTCGCCATTTTTGAACGAACAACCAACTTTATTAGTTAAAACTTACAGAATAACAGAAAAACATTTTTAAGCGCGCGCATCGTCTGCGGATATTCTTTGCGGATAATCGTCTGCGGTAATTTTACATTTCTTAGTGAAATTATGTTGGTAGCGTAGCAATGCAAATACGTTACACTATATTTAAAATCGATGAGTTATTACGACGACATTGCTTGATTTTTAAAATTAAAAGCTGTAAAGCAGTGTGCAAGTCCATTAGAAAAGAGAAAAATTATAAAGTTCCTAACTTTTATCCTGTTAAATGTAATGTCGAGGAACCTAGCGAACTGCCAAGCGAATAATTGCAGAACAACAAGTACAAGAACAGAAACGTAAACTAAAGAAGGGTTAATTACCTTTTATTTGCTGAAAATAAGATTAACAGTCGGTCCCTTTCTCAGGGCGTACAGCAAAGCCTCCACGTGGGCTTCAACTCAAAATATAAGAAATAAGAATTTACTAATGAGTAATTGAAGATATTTAGCCGAAGCTAACACAATTCTAAACCAGTTGGCCCGTAATATTAACGTTGTCAGCGAAGCTATCAAGAGGCACACGTAATACGGCCGAGCGTAGCCAGCGAATTATAGAAAGGTAGCCCAAAAGCAAACGCGCGCTATTCAGGAATCCTAACTCTCTCTGTCGAATTCACTTGAATTTGTTTTAAATACTATTCTCCTTCTCATTTGCATTCAACGCAACGCTACAACCTCATTCTGGTAGGGAGTTGTAATCTGAAGCTGGGAGAGATAGAAAAGAGGCATAAACTTAAAATAACTGTTATAAAATTAAAATATACCTTACAAACTAAACACTTTATAAATGTATTTGTTTAATGTATAAAACAATAAGGAATAACTAAAATCAAATAAAAAAATAAGGAGAAGAAAATAGAAATATGATTAAATTAAAGAAAAATAAATAAGCAATAAATTAAATTAAAATAAATGCAGCGTAAAAGTTAAATGGAAGAGCAAAAAATGAACCGATGATCGAAAAAGACAAACTGAAAAATGTTTAACATTTGGAGGATTCTCCACTGTGTACTTCTAAGTTACAGTTGAATGGGAAGAATCTTATGAACTAGTAAGCGAATAATTGCTTCAGTTCGTGAGGTAGAAACAAAATGAGAGGGTGAATAATTTTTATTCCAACCAAGTTAACAAACTCCGTCTGGAGGGCATAATAAACACTTGGGCTTAAACTTAGAAACTAAGAATTAAAATTTATAATCTTAACTAAAAGAATAGCCGAAGCTATCAAAACTCTAACAGATGTCCCCTAACCCTTTGCGGGACACCTAAAAATTTCCCTTCTGTAACGCACAGAAAAATGAATGAAAAAGGTTTAAGGTTACTCTGAACGTTCTTTATTTAATAGATGGCAGCTCAACACAAACCAGTCCATATATTTTAGCCATGTTTAAATTTTTAACCCTCACTTTTCAAAGAAATCTTCCCGATTTTAGGGTATAAAAGGAATTGTTGAAAAGCATTTATGTTAGTTTTGGCTGTTCTAATCTCATTATTCTGTATTAGTCTTAAATTTTTACCTTGAAATCTTGCCTAAAATCAAACGGCGAACCCTAGGTGGGACCGGGCTCACCGATCATCTAGGACAACTAGAGCTGTATTCTTTGTTTCTCCGCTCTAAGGTCATTGAGTTCATTGACAACCGGCTCGTTCAGCACTCTTTTCGAAGCTCTATCCAATCAGTGTGCCCACTTTAGGCACACGCGCCCAATTAAAACGATAAGTGCTCTCTTCACAAAATTTTACTTGTGTACTCCTCTAGGCCTAATTAGACTGCCTAGCTTTTTATTCTTTTTATCAAAATTCCAACTTTAAAAGGTAGCGTGACGGAAAGGGTTAACGCGATTAAATGATTGCGAAGCTATCAAGGGCCTAAAGTACGGCCGAGCGTAGCAATAGCTTAAGAGGAGTAACCTAAAAAGGCGGACGCGTTGCTAGCCCGAATCTCTGGTTCTCTCTGATTAAGACAGTAGAACTTCGCGGTTAAATACCGCTTTTCCTCATTAGCATTCAGACGTGATTCTTAAACTACGTTCTGGCCGGAAGTGGTAAGTTAAAATTATGAAGCGGTAGGAGAGGAAGTTTAACTCAAAATTTAACTGTTAATAAAATTAACATAATCCTTACACATTAAGTAAAAGCATTTTTTGGTTGTTTTGAATTCTAGCCCATTTAAAGTTCCCTTGATCTCTGGCTTGATAGCCCATAAATGTTTCATTTCCAGAATGGGTTGTTCCCGCGCAATTTCATTGAAAACAAGACCTACCATAATTTATTATCGTATCAATTTTACAATTTTACATGCTGCTAAAAGTAGTATTGCAAGAATAATAGAATTTACCGCCAATATTGTGACTTAACGATGCAACAAAGTGCCGCATTTGAGTCTGTAACTGGAATCGCCATTTTTCTTAAAAAAGACCGGAACCCAGTGCTTCTGAATTGAAGGTGAATTTAGTATTAGACCACAACTTAAAGCATGGAAGTTGAAAGGAGTAAACACAAAATCGCTGCCAATAGAATCTCTGAAAGAATTTCAATAGATTTAACTCTTTCGATACTTTGTTAAAGATTTCTCTGTTCATTTATTATGGATACTGTAAATTCTAAAGATCGTTAAATTTATAGATAAGCAAGCGCAGATCTTGAATTCTTTCTCAAGATCTTCATAAACAGTAATAGTAGTTTAATAGCTGTTCAACATTCATATCTGTTGATGTATGATGGTTCTTTTTTATTTAAAAGCTTCTTAAATTTAAATATTTCTGGACATGTCAAAGCTAAAGAAGAAGAAGGAATGACAGCAAATCTTAACAACAGTAAAGTGTAATTATTGTATCCGAAAAATACGTCAAGTTTTAAACTCTTTTACTAGTGTATAATCTTTCAAATTCTGCTGCTAATCCTAAGTAGGATCATGTTTTTTAAAGGAACCAAAATGTAAGGTTCTACTTAACTCCCCCCCCCTAAATTCTGTAGTGTCTAAGGTGTCCGCCGATAACATCGCGGCAAACACATCGCAGACGAAAACGTCGCAGAGAAAATAACGCAAGGCAAAAACGTCGTGCTACAAAACATCGTGGGAAAAAACATCGCAACGAGAAAACATCGCAGTTCTAAAACATCGCGGTACAAAACATCGTCGTCGAAAATAAAGCGGTTCTTCGCAGTTTAAAAACATCGTCGTCGAAAATATCGTGGTAAAAAATAAAGTATCTACAAATCATCGCTTGACGATAACATCGCAGACATGCTTTTTTCAGACTTTAATAATGTAAATAGTCAGACTTTAATAATGTAAATTAATAATATTCCCATAATAATTTGTGAGCGCAAGATAGAAAGAAGGATAATTTGTTTTTTATATTTTATATTAACTAATAAATTTTTGCTGAGAAAATAAGAAGGAAACTTAAGCATCGAAAATTAATGCAACTTATAGCACTTAATAGAATTTTAAACCGACATATTTAACTAACAAAGACCATTAATAAATAATTTTTATAAAGTTTTTACTGGTAATTTGTCATAAAAGTATAATCTATAAGTCGCATTTAATTTTCTATGCTTAAGTTTCCTTCTTACGTTTTCAGGAAAAATTTTAGTTAAAAAAAAAAATGTGAAAGTAAAAATTATCCTTCTTTACATCTTCCGCTCACAAATTTATGGGAATATCTATTACAGTTATTAAAGCCTAAAAAAAACATGTCTGCGAATTATCGTCATGCGATGATTTGTAAATACTTTATTTTTTACCACGATATTTTCGACGACGATGTTTTCAAACTGCGAAGTTTTTGAGCCGCTTTATTTTCGACGACTATGTTTTGTACCACGATGTTTTATAACTGCGATGTTTTCTCTTTGCGATGTTTTCTCCCACGATGTTTTCTCCCACGATGTTTTGTAGCACGACGTTTTCGCCTTGCGTTGTTTTCTCTGCGACGTTTTCTTCCGCGATGTTTTCGGCTGTAACCGTGTCTAAAACCTTTATACAATGAAGCCCTCTGTCCCTTCACTAATCTCTAATCCAGTCAGCACTGATTTACCATCACTTCCTCTTACCCCTCAGTATCCATATAAAATAGCCGAGCTGTATAGTCGCTGAGCATTGATACTTCGGTCTGCGGTTCGAATCCCGGCGTAATTCATGTAAAATGTAGATAGAAGAAAAAAATGCCAAAGTAAAATATAAAATTTGCAAAGCAACAGCTTTGTGTTTGGCGTAGAATTTAATCATGACTCTATCAATCTCGAGCACACACAAGTACAGGTCCGTCTTCATCATTAGCAAAGAAATCTTCAACGAAGACCTCCATTGGAACGGTGTAGCACCAGGGTGCCTGGGTTATCGTGAACGTTACCCCTTGTAGAACATATAAGCTGTTGCGAATGATACCAAAAAACAATAACTACACTCAAATAGATCAGATGAAGAAAATACACTTGGAAAAACAAACCATGCATAAGGAAAGTGTGAGTCTCACGGTGCTAATATTCACAGGAAAGATAAATCAATGCAATACATACGAATACATAGGCAAATAAGTACAAGAATTGATCTAAATTTTAAACTAGGATGAACAAGATGAAATTATTTACAACACTATCCTTTGTCAGTACATTTAGTGCCAAATACATTTTCAAAGATATAGAATAATATAAACATTTTATCAATAGTATGTTCCGCTGCATGCAGCTCTGGCATTTTTTTAGTAATTTTGTCAATAATTTTAACAACAGAAGAGTCTTTAGCTCCATCCTTCACACTTTTAACCTTATTCACACCTTTATCATTATCTGGCTTGTCAGTAGGGACAGAAAAACGACATTTAACTGCGCTAGCATAGCTAAAGCTTGGGGTGACAAGTTTTGCACTAACATTTTCATTCTTAGCATTTTTTTTTTTTTTTTTTTTTTTTTTTTTGTTCAGACGATTAAAATTTCATTAGAAATAAATAATAATTAAAAAAAAAACCTGCTTCAAAATTAGACCTGCAAAGTAATTTTATTTTACATTATTTTCATGAATGAATACTGGTGCTGCCATCTGTTATACATTTAGAGAACTAAAAGGCGTAATTGTATGTATTTTAAATGGAATTTTGCAGCTTTCATCTGGGAAAGAAAAACTGATAAAAAAGGTGGGACACTTGTCAGCCCACAACCTTTGATGGACGTTTGGCAGCCCACCGCCCATCAAAGGGTTAAAGTTTAACCTTTTATTCCAACTACCACACAATCTCATAATCTACTGTCTGACCGTAGAAAACAGGTACCCCAGCTGGTATCTTATAATTTTTTCTGCCGGAAAGCGAGAGAATATCTAAAATGATCTTTTATTTAGATACAAAATGCGCGTAAACGCGTGTAAAATCAGAACTAGAATATAGTACTTTGCTATGAATTAATGTTTCCGTTCAAATTGTTTATGCCTATTATTTGACTAAAACTCAGATGATAATATAGTATATAATCAGATATAAGGAAATGTGACAAATTATTTATACTCTTCATTACACTGTTTTCTCTTTTCAATAAAAATATTCCCTTCTTTATTTAACTAATAATTTTTTTTAAGAATCAATTAAATTTTATTCTACTTTATTTTGATTTTTGCACCCGTGTGCGGGTTCTGTATTTGCTATATTGCAGTGGTATCTTTGTAAAAGAGGGATATTTTATTTCAGTTTATAGCTGCAAGTGACAAACTGTGGTTTATGCTGGAGCTATATTCCTTTGTTGACTACTTCACTATTCCACCGTCCTTCGTGTCAATTTATCTAGGCAGAACATGGATTGGTATGTTATTCGTTATGTTTTTGCATATATACACAAAAATTATAGCTGTTTATATTTTGTCTAACATTATTATTTATATTGTTATTTTCTGTGTACCTGTGTTCTGGATGTTAAACAGGAAATAGGGAAGTAAAATACGTAAATAAAGCTAAATAAAAGCGCTGTGTGCTTTAAAGTTTGAAATAATGAACCAGCATATTTATAATCGAAAAATAATTTAAAGAGTTTTTTACTAAACTTAGATGGCATTGTAGGGCTATTGGGTTAGTTCGAAGCAGAAGAGATGAAAAATGAGCAACGCCTTCGCTAGGACCCGAACAACGGGCCTCTCGAATACGCGTCGAGCGTGGTGACCGCTACACCACGAAGGCATGCCAAGAAGGCGGGAGAAATACCTTATGACATAAAGTTTATTTAAATATAGCAATCTTTTAGAAAGAATTTTTTTAAAAAATCTGTCTCATGCTTGCAATATATTATAATAAAAAAAAAAAAAAAACCGCATAATAAAAAGTTTGGTGAATCTTCGGATTATGGTAACTTGGCGAGAATTTGGCGACCAACCATGCTACTTCAAGCTCCTAGTTTTGTTTTGGACGCCATTTTGTTTTCACGAAGTAAAGGCATTTTTTTTTTCTTTTTTTTTAACTCAACAATTTTTCCAACAACCTGCTAGCCGAATTACGCTTATACTAGAACTTTTATGGAACAAAAATGCTTAATCATGACGAAGATTAGGTGCGAAATTGGGAGAAAGTGCAGAATCGCAAACTGCTTGCCGCGTTTTTAAGAATTGCACATACACGGTATCCATGTACACGTCGACCTCTTTTCACTTAAAAAAAAATAATCCCAGAATTGCACAAAAATGGTATTTCGCAACTTCTTGACTTTATCTATGTACACATCGACCTATTTTCACTTAAAAGGTCAAAGAAAATTGACAAAAATTCAATTCTTCTTACTCTTGTAAAAAGTGTCAAACAAATAAGTGGACGATTCTGCACTTTAACGGCGAAATTGTTTCTAAAAGCTTGTTAGCTAAAATCACGATCGGAATTTTCCGGAAAATGTCACATGACATGTCTCATGATCTCTCATTTCTCGGAGACAAAATAATCTGTGATTCGAACTGCGTACTTCTCAGATTATTGCTAAAGTCCTAGCTAGTAACCTTTATCGCCTTATCAAAATGTCGCCAAACTACCTGTTACCACATTCCAAAGATTAACCAAAAGTTCTTCCAGTTCATTTCATTTGAAAATTCACATTAAAGAAGGATTCGCCATGCATGTAATAAGAAATTATGCTGCTCTTTTAAACCAGTACTGCTATCACTAGAAATGGAATAACTTTTCAATTTATTTTCAAGCACTTTCCAGGTAAAAATGAAAGACTCATTTATAGGACAGAGCAAAAGACGTTCTGTTACTTTGAACTGGGGAAGCTCGACATACATTCGAAACATTTTTATGCGTACTTGGATATGAAACCTGCAATATTGGGAAACAAACAAGATAAATAAATTTTAAAAATACAAAACAACAAAGGACTGAAAATACAAATAACTGAACTGACTATGAGCAAAATGCTTTTCCATGCTGTTACTTTTTATACAGTGAGGCCTCGTATAACGAATAGAGTCTGTTCCAGGACGTATTTTTGTATGTGAATCCTCCGTTATGCGAAGGACACTGTTTTCTATAGCTTACTACAGAAATAACTCCGTAACATGGTCTGTAATTGGGAAGCATCAGAAATAATATAAGAAAATATGGAAAACTTTATCAGTATTGAAAATGTAAAGAATCTATTAATAAGTTAGAAAAATAGTTGTTTAAGGGGACTTGTAAACCTTCTTACTAGGTCATATAGGTTCAAAACTAGTCACATATTGGAAGACTTAAGATCTTCCAATATGTGACTGTTGCAAGAATTGGGATATTTTACTTATTTTAAAAGCAATTACTTACAACTTTTTACCACAAATATGTTTATAATTTAATCTGCTTTTCGACAAAATTTTTTATGCGTTCACGCCATGTTTCCACCTTGCTCGCATGATATTTAGAAAATGGATAACGGTACATACTTGAAATTGGATGGCATTTGTTATATGGGCCCTATCTTCTAACTGAACCAAAAATCTGATGATATTTTAATATTAAAAAAATTTTGTGCACGAAAACACTACAGATTTTTGTAATAAAATACATTTTATAAACTCAACTCCAAATAAAATAAAAATTTAACATGAAACTCTTAGGATTTTTGATTCACAGTAGCTTCTAAATGTTATAAAAGCTATATATTAAATATGGAATTAAATTATGCAATACAATGTTTTAAACGTTGCGCGCAAAGCTGAGAACATTTATGACATTTACAAGTCATAAAAAATTTTGTCAAAAAGCAGATTAAATTATAAAAATATTTGTGGCAACACAAACTTTCTGATTACTGTTCACTATATTATGTTGTGAACTATAAAAAATTGGAAGCAATTGCTTTTAAAATAAATAAGTTATCCCAATTCTTGCAACAGTCACATATTCGAAGATCTTAAGGCTTTTAAGGTGTATGAGCTCCCTTGAATTTTATATAAAAGATGGCTGAAAAATGTCTGAGGAAAACGTAAAAACAGGTAAGAAGTGATCGAAATAAGCATATTTTGCAACCGAATGTATATGCCAAAATGGAGGGTTCGTACAAGGCATTCTTGAAACGTAGGTAAAAGCGGTCTTCTAGAGTAAGTCATCACTTCCCGTGAGGTTTTTCAGATGTTATCTATAGCTGAACAAAAGCGAAGCTGCTCGACGTGCTTTTGTCTACAGAGCTGCGGATAGAATCGGAACAACTGCCCAAACTCTAGAAAAAGTACATGAAAGTTTTCTACTGAAGCGCTTGAAGCATCGCATACACAATGCGAACACAATCGGGGAGCACCAATATGGCTTCAGAGAACAGAAATCTACCACACATTCATTTATAACCATGAAAAACTACACCCTGGAGAACAGAAACCATAGGTACCACACAGCCATCCTCAGTCTCGATATTAAGACTGTCGTCGATACCTTGTGATGGCAGATAATTAACAGGCATTGGAGCAACCTAGATGCTCAGCAAACACATATATCAAGCTCTGACCTGTTACCTCTCGAATCGTGAGCAGATCGTCATGTATAACAATGGCTTCATTGAACGCAAACAGAAACGAGGATGCCCGTACGGATAATTCGTCGGTCCAGTCTTATAGAATCCCACCTTTAATAGCATATTTAATAGCTCGGCTGAGCACACCCAAGTAATAGTTTACGCAGATGACATCGCCCTTCTAGTCCTGAGAAAATTCAGAAATAAGCCGAAGATGAATGGAATTCAAACCTCTCAATAGTTCTATGAACTCTTCAGTGCTTGAAATTGACCATCTCAGAAGGCAAATATAAGGTCCTTCTAATTACAAAAAAAAAAAAAAAAAAAAAAAAAAAAAAAAAAAAGGAAGAAGACAGCAACATTAGTCCAGGAATCACCATCAACGATAGCAGGATGAAAACCCTCAAAGTACTAAAATACCTGGGTCTTACATAGGATCAAAGACTGACTTGGATTCTTCACATTAAGCAACATGCTAGCCACATTTCGCAAAATCTCTGACAGTCCTAATGAAATAGGGACTAGGCATGCACATTCAGAAGACTCTCTATACTCAACTGTCATCGAAAAAATGGTCACATATGCTGCTCCAGTGTGGGCCTAACCTAAGCAAGGAAGGAGAGTTAAACATTTTCTTAGCTTTCAGCCACAATTCGAGTAAAACTTCACAAGGGCATTTCACGCAACAGTGACTGCTTCGATCAATGTCCTGGCAGGTTTAACATCATTGCATATTCGTGTGAAGAAAGAAGCAATAATCCAATCGGCATTTCACCATCACATTCCTTCAAGTTTCTTCCAAGAGTGACATCATCAGACAATTATGAAATGTTAGCGATAACGCTACATGTTCACCCAGTACTTAAAGTGTAAACATGCTCCTGTACAACATAACCTATGGAAGGAGCCACTAAACAAAACCAATGTATTGCTTCAGGTAGAAACAGTAGCTATTTCAAGAGCCATCTATTACTTCACTCAGCAAAACCTACAGGATATCACTCTACATATACACAGTATGCTGGTATTTCTGTCTATACTCAACCATTATCACACATCTCCAATTAGTTACACAAATCCAGAGAGACTTGCGGAGGCATCAACACCATAACGTCACGCTTTTCTGGGTGAACGCGCATACACGGGTGCGTGGCAATCGAAAAATTATTCAGAGATTAGAGCCAATTATTGAGAGATTAGAAGCAATATCAAGAAGCATTCATTATCTACGACCAGCACTTTGGCCACGTTCAGGCTAGGGAAACACAAGGCACAAATCAAATGGCAAACAGAGTGAGATGGATGCAAACCACGCCGCCGCACATCCTACAACATCACATTAAGCAGACGACAAATGTAACACCACTTCCCGCAATTAGCAAGATGTATTATAGGGTACGTTACCTTTAACTCAGTATTTTAACAGACATGTTGTCAGTGACACCAATCTTTGTTATTTGTACGAAAACTGATGCCTGAAACCATTATTCTTACCATCTGGCCATATACTGGAATGCACTGCCTTAAAATGCCTAGTAACAGTACACAAACTTACTGCAAGTTTATGGGAAAACGACATGAGGTGGCAAGGATCACCCATATCTATATATATATGTAAGCGAAAATACTACTGACTTATTACGAGATTTCCCAAGCCATATACATGATTGACTTGAAATTTTGCATAGTTACTCATTCCCCGATGTAGACGAGCACTAAGAACGGATTTTACGCAAATCCCTGCCCAAAATGAATTTTTGTTATACAACAGAAGTTTCTCATACATTTAGTTTTCAAATACAAGCTCCGAATTTCTTCTATTGTTGCCAAAACCAGATGTGAAATACAATGCTGCAAATGAATGCATTTTTCTTTAAAATTATTAAATTAGTAAATAATTTGCATCTATCCAATGAATGCAAACAACATTTAAATGATAAGGTTAATAATAAAATGTATATTTAACTGTTATCATGAGTTTCATGAAAATAAATGTTGTTATTAAGAGAAATAAATTATTAATTAATTAAATTATTATTATTATTATTATAAAAATGTTATTGTTGTTTTTAAAAAATTGCCCTACATATAAAATCAAGGACAAATAATTATAGTAACTGATAAAAAAATTTGATAACAAATATAATAACATTAATTTTCACGAAAGATATAATAGTTATTTATATTATTAGTTTTATGTTGGCAATTTTTCGTTGTGTAGGCCTATTGGGGATCCCGCCAGCTTAATGGCAAACCGCACATTGAGTTGATCAATGTTAACCAATTTCGCTTACTGCGCATGCTCAATGGTGTACCGCTGGCGTGGGAGAAAATACTGGCGGCTAAGCATAAGCAACCCTACACAAGCTTGTTTGTCATGTAGGTTTTATCGACTGTTTACAATTGCAACAGTCTATTTCATTTACTTACAATAATTTATTTGGTTTTTAATTCAGTAATTTAAACTACATTTAAACCTTAATTTGTTAAAGTATATATGAATGGAACGTATGGTAAATACTCAATTGTTTTTATTCCTGAGAAGTATAATCAGCTAATATATCTTGTAATGCATCCTGTTTTGTAATCCTTTTTAAAAGAAAATTTGGGTAGTTTACAATCGACATTTACACTTCAAGTAATGAAGCAGCTTACAACCTGACACGTTTTAAAACCTCGAACTGTTTACCCCCAAAATAACACAATATCGACCATATGCCGTATTTATCTTCTTTTAAAATTGCGCCAAAGTCGAAACTGCGCCAAATTCTCTTTTCGGCATGCGCAGTAAGCGAAATTCGTTTAACATTGATCAACTCAATGTGCGGGTTGCCATTACGCATCCCGCCACGTTAAATAATGGGGACGCATCCCAATATACAGTACCCTGCGGGCGGTTATGAGCTAGTTATCTATACGCTTGAAAACTCGGCGCTCATCTATGCCTCGTTACATAATTTTTAATAGGAACAGTGTTTAGAATCAGAAATTAATATTCGTTCAATTTGTTTCGAGAAGTTTAACCATCTTTACTGCTTCAATAATTGGATATTCCGCAACGTACGTTTGTAAAATTCTGTAAAGTGTGTAATGTGTTGTCTGCGTTAAGCGTATTTGTAAAGTGAACTGTTGTAAAGTGTATGTTCTGCTGGAAAGTATTTTGAATATCTAAAAGTCTGTAATTATGTAAATTATGTAATTATATCCTGAGTTATAACGGCAACAATATCTTACAATGTTATTTAAAGTATCCCATAATGCTTGATATGAGGGGAATTTAGATCATATCACCTAAGTTCTTTAAAAAATGATGATGTCTCTGCATCCCGTCAATAGCAATTGTATCTCCTTTGAGTAACTGTTACGTTTCCGTCCGCAGTCTCATACTTGTATGTCCCCGAATTCTGCTTTCAGGCGGATATGCATACCGCTTGAAATTCGCCCTGAGAATTAAAATTTATGGTATTAGAACATTTTTACCTACCTCTCAATAGCGCCTTGTACCTTCTCATTTCCGCAGATACATTTATGCTAAAATCTACTTATTTCGGTTCTCCTCTACTTGTCTTTGCCGTTTTACCAGATAATTTTTACTTGCTTTGTGTGCACATTCAAAGATTTCTTTAAACTATTTAGCTCATTATTTTCTTCCAAAATACCCTCTAAAGTGCTGAAATTATCACTGAAAGGATGTATTTATATCAGCTCGACATAAATAGGTACAAGGTGTCTCTCACTTGGTATCTCATTTCAGCCACATCATCATCTAAATTCAAGAGCAGAACATTCTCATATGAGACGCTTGGAATAACAAGGTTGTCAATAGTATATCACTGCTCCAATGTGGTCCGTACCACCCTCCTTGAGAATGCGTGCGGCTTTCAAAATTCAGTGCGGCTTTCAAAAACAGAAGTACAACAGATTTTGTTTTCGGAAGAAAAACTACAAAATCCTTGTAAATTGTATTAATATTTTATTTAACCTCCCTTTTTGAAGAGTTACTGTTACAATAATAAGGGTTTATTATTGTACGCGTACAATCCATTTTTGGATTATACGTGTTTTCCAGTTATCCGCATGTATTGGGTCATATAAAATGTCTCTTCGGTTTTTTGCCACTAGATGGTGTTAATGTCTCTATCTCCGGCAACACTCACCCGATTGTCTCAAACGAATATGTGCTTAAAAGGTGAAATTCAGCTTTCATTCTTTTGAAAAAATAGTTTTCTAATTCGTTGCTCGTGTAAAAAGTTATGTTGATTTGAAAATGAGTGAAATACTGAAAACGTCGATGAAATTTTGCAAGTGGTAGAGCAAGACCGGCATGCAAGCTGCCAAAAAATAGCGGAGGCACTAAACATAAACCGCACGACATTTTGGAATCATTTGAAAAGAGCCTGGATTGTCTCCAAATAAGGTTATGCTGAGTGTTTGGGAGGGGGGATTGGAAAGGAATTGTCCATTATGAGCTGCTGCAATCTGGCGAAACTATCAATTCGGCACAACTCAACCGGTTTTACGAAGCAATCCAGAAAGAGCGACCAGAATTGGCCAGCAGAAAGAGAATTGTGTTCCATCATGACAATGCACGGCCAACATACATCTTTGATGACTCTGAACAAATTGACAAATTGACGGAACTTGGTTGGGAAGTTTTGACACATCCAGACCTTACACCGTCGGACTACCATTTGCTTCTGCAAAACTGTCTTGATGGTAACTCGCCGACCGGAGCGCTGCTGAAAATCACTTGGCCAAGTTTTCCGACCATGAACCACAGAAGTTCTACACCGATGGAATTATGAAGCTACCCGAAAAATGGCAAAAGTTCATAGATAATATGGTCAATATATACTTGATTAAAAATGATTTTCGATAAAGGAAATTTTTGTTAAAAAATGTACCAAAAAATCGCGGAGATCTTTTTTATGTGACCCAATATACTAGTTAGTGTGGACGACCGGAAGTACATACGTTGCGGAATATCCAATCACAGTAGTAGAATGTTACCATTTTTCAATGAAATGTTTTGGCAGGTACATATTATTAAAGAATTTTGTGAAACTGCTTGGAATAAATGTACAATTTATCCCAAACATTTTGGATATACTGCAATCATTATAAATTTTACATTACCATGACACCGTGCAATGAATAACACGAATGATGTATGAGCTAATTACAACAGGTTCATTTGTTCTTTAACATTTTGCTGATGATCTTTCAGGGCTTCGTTTCTTGCGGGCGCTGCGCCTCATGTCTGTACCCGACATCCTGCAGTACTTGAACGTGCTGAAGACCAGCAGTTCGATTCGCCTGGCACAGCTCGTGTCAATAGTCATCAGCGTTTGGTTGACAGCAGCAGGTGTCATCCACTTGGTGAGTATCCCATTTCAGCCACAGTACCATCTGCATTTAAGGGAAGAACATTCTTATCCGAAACGCCTGGCATAACAAGGTTATAATTTTTGTTCTAAATTTTAGGCAACGTGTATTTTCTTTCTGCGGCCATATAACTTTCATTTCAAAATACTAAATGAAGTGCCCTCACGTCTGAAGAATTTGCAGACTTAGGAGATGATCATGTTAATAGTAAAGCGAGGATGCAAAAGAAAGAAGAAAGTTTAGAACTTGGAATGCCACACCGAACACATTCCTTTATTTATTACCTCGCAGCTTTCCGTCGATAATAATTCTTTTAGTCGTATTATTCTACTTAATTTTAAAACTTATTTCCAATTCCTTTCCTTCTTATACCATTCTTTATTTATGACATTTTTTTCTTCTCGGATACTTTTCCATTTTTGTTTCTGAAATTTTAAGATGAATTGTTTATTCTATGACGTATAAAGTATTTGAAGATACTTTTCTCTCCAATGGCGGGGCATTTGTCTATAACGGCAATGGCCCCTGCTAAGGTCAGAAGTGGTGGCCATTTTATTGTGGAGGCACCTAGTAGGTACCTCCTGTGAAGGGACAGATAATTTTATATCCATGCCTTCTCCGGGATTCGAACCCGGCCCTCCGGTATCGCGGACAGTCTTCCCTAACCACTATACCGTCAGGGCGGCATATTTGAAGATATTTATGATTCTTAAAAGTGATTCATGGTAGTTTTATTTACATTGTCAAAGCACGATTCTATGAAGCCTGTTTAGAAACTTGGGAGGTACTTTTTTTTCCCCTCCTGCCTTTTTTATTTCTCAAAAAAAAAAGGCTTTCGAAATTCTAAATGTTTCTTGAACGTCGTAAAGTTCGAGTTGAAAAGGAAAGTAAATAACTTTCACTGGAGCACCTTATTTGTTTATTTATTTATTTTTATGCAGAGTCTTGATTTAGTTTTGATATAATGACGCTTACCACAGATGAATTATATGAGAAAGTAATTTTTACATTAAAAATGTTCGTTGAATGTATGTTAAAAAATTACATTAAAAATGTTCATTAAAAATGTTCGTTGAATATATCTATCTCGTACGTAAGGATGTTAACGTTAATGACATATTATTCAAAATTTCGATATTTTGTCAAATGTCGTATAGGAGCGTACTGTTGATGTGTAATGACATGTTATTATATGAATAAATGTAAAAATTTACATTTAATGTAAAAATTTACAATTTAATGTAAAAATTTACATTAAAAATGTTCGTTGAATATATCTATCTCGTACGTAACGATGTTAACGTTAATGACATATTATTCAAAATTTCGATATTTTGTCAAATGTCGTATAGGAGCGTACTGTTGATGTGTAATGACATGTTATTATATGAATAAATGTAAAAATTTACAATTTAATGTAAAAATTTACATTAAAAATGTTCGTTGAATATATCTATCTCGTACGTAACGATGTTAACGTTAATGACATAATATTCAAAATTTCGATATTTTGTCAAATGTCGTATAGGAGCGTACTGTTGATGTGTAATGACATGTTATTATATGAATATGTCTGATATTGGCTTACAGAAACTATTTCTATTGTAATTTAATAAACCTACACATTTTTCTCTAAAGCTTATTAAAAATATAGACTTAACTTCTTTGTACGTTTTTGATCGACTAAGAATAAAACCTCCTAAATAAATTAACACCAGGCCTAATCTAAAGTAGTCTCGAAAAGAAGCGATTTGAATAAATCGAATCTCAATAATTGAAATTCGATTGATTTTTTCAAAAGCAGGTCCTTTACAAACGTATATTTACAATTGCTTTACATGCATAATTTGAATATAATTAGTCCAAAGACTGTTAGCCCAGAAAGGCTATTAATTTCGTTTTGGCATTTTGCGTCGATTCACTGTTCAAATTGTTGCCACCAAATATTCATCTTGTGTTACCCTGTATTATAAATGAAGAATCTGCATAAATGTATGTATGTTTCTCGTATTGTGACAAAACAACGGTACCTAGAGCCATCCAATTTTAATTAACGTAATCCTCCACCGAATATGGGCAACTGGAAGCCCTAATTTAGAATTTGGAATTTGTTTTATTATCGATTTCATATTTTGTAACACTTTAAGGTTTTTGATTAACAAACTCAACGATTTCAAAGCGAGCCATGGCAACACTGTAAGAAAAAAAAATACAATTTTATCTCCAGCGCGCGAGACTGTGTATCGGAAATTATAAAGATACTCTCATTTTAAAATTATTTTGCGATATTGTTGTTCAATTGAATTTTATGGTTTAAGTGCAAAGAATATTTAATAAGTAAAGGAATACAGGTAACACACGAAAGGTTAAAAAAAAAAAAAAAAAAAAAGTAGCTTTGGGCGTAATGTAAAAATCAGAAAGAAGCGTTCAGATCTTTCAGATCTTTTTAATATATCTTTTTTATTTTTATATTTTTCTTGAGATTTAAAAAAAAAATTGTCGTAAAACTCTATTCGAGTCCTATAATCTGGAAATTTCAGATTTCGGTTTTAAAACCTCTTGAAGTTTCTTTCGGTTGTAATTTGAGTTCAGAAGTGTACGAACTTTTAAAAAATGTAACTCGTGGCCTACGAACTTGTGAGCATATCGTTAAATATCGCTACGAATGATCTTTGCGGCACTTTTTTTTTTCAAAATCGTCTTTCATAAACAAAAATAAATTTCACTTTCATGATATTTAAGAAATAAAGGTAACACACTAAACGTCAAAATAAAAGTCCTTTTGGGCGTAATGTAAAATCCGGAAGCTTTCAGATTTTTTTATGTATTTTTTGCTTATTGATTTAATATTTGTTTTTCTTTTAAGGTTCAGACTTTACCAAATGACTTCATAAATTTCTCGACATTTAACTGGCTCTTCACTTTCAGCTAGAGAATTCAGGCGACCCTTTGGAATTTCTAAACCCCCAAAGCTTAACATATTGGGAATGCGTCTACTTCTTAATCGTGACCATGTCAACGGTTGGCTACGGAGATATCTACTGTCAAACGTCCTTGGGGCGGGCCTTCATCGTGTTTTTTATTCTCGTCGGTTTGGTGAGTTTATACCTTTCTGTGCATTTTGTCATCAATACAGAATTCTAATTCTTGCTTTATAATGAAATAACTTGAGCTGAAAAGCTCGAAAAGCTGTTTGTTTAAACAGCTGGTACCGTTTTCTAAAATTAAGGGGACTCGTACAGCTTAAACCCCATAAGATTTTTGAATATGTGAGTGTTGCAAGAATTGGGATAATTTATTTATTTTAAAAGCAATTACTTCCAACTTTTTACAGATCACTACACAATATAGCTGTTTTCTGAAATAGTGATCAGAAAGTTTGTGTTGCCACAAATATTTTTATAATTTAATCCGCTTTTTGACAAACGTTTTCGTCATGTTTCCACCTTGCGCGCACAGTTTAACACATTCTGTTGCACAATTTAATTCCATATTTAATATATAGCTTTTATAACATTTGGAAACTACTGTGAACCAAAAAATTCTAAGAATTTCATGTTAAATTTTATTTTGTCTGGAGTCGAGTTTAAAAAAATATGTCGAGTATAAAATGTATTTTATTAAAAAAATCTGTAATATTTTCGTCCATAAAATTTTTAATATTAAAATATTCATCAGATTTTAGGTTAAGTTAAACGACAGGGCTCATATAAAGAATTCCATCAAATTTCAAGTATGTACCATTAGCCATTTTTAAAATATCGTGCGCGCAAGGTGGAAACCTGACGAAATATTTTGTCAATTAAATTACAAAAATATTTGTGGCAACACAAACTTTCTGATCACTATTTCAGAAAGCAGCTATATTATGTAGTCAGCTATAAAAAGTTGGAAGTAATTGCTTTTAAAATAAATAAAATAACCAAAATCTTGCAACAGTCACATATTCGAAGGGTGTTAAGGGGTCTAAGGTGTATGAGCCCCCTTAATATAAAAATACTGCCTTTCTGAACTCATATTCTACGTCAATTTGATTCGCAATAAAACGAAATTTTCTCCTCCACAACAAATTTTCAGAAATTTAGGAATATCTCCAGCTTTTTGGGCTATAAATGGGAAGGTTACTATAACAGCTACAGCATCGCGCAAGATTATTTATATAACAGCAAAGCACCCGAGGGGTGTCTGCCTAAAAGAAGGAATACTGTCGTGGACGACATTTTAAGAGAAATGGGTTTGTATTCACGTTAGAATTGAGAAAAACCACAAAATGTCATAGACAGCCGATCTGTTCGCTGGGAAGTGAACTTGCGCCAAGCTCAGTGTTCAGCGATTTCGCCTATTGGCTGTTGCTGGAAATGAATAAGAATGATGTGATGTGGAAGGGAAAATTAAGTGTGAGTAAAATTGATGTAGGATACCAGTTAAGATTTGAAATGCATTCGTTTATTTAAAACCGGCAGCTACGTGGCCAGCCTTCTTCTGGCTTTTAAATGTATCAGGAAAATGCCTGAAAAAAGTACACCAAACGTTAAATTTAAGAACTGCGCAGAATTTTACTCTGCAGAACAACTTCATTTAAAAAAAAAATCTGATGTGTACACCACACGACTTCCTTGTACGGAATATTAAATTATACGCATACTTTTTCTTCGCATTTCATTTAAACGTATTGGATTGAATTAAATCTACTTCGCCGATAGCGCATGAACCACAATAGAAAAAATGCATTCTTTTTAAAATTCACTCTAGTATTTTTTAACACAGCGACACTCTGGCGCTAGCTTCACCTTAATAGCGTATTATATTTCCGTTCATATTATAACTCATAATGCACAAAATGTATATCATTTAAAGAAAAGAATTATCTAATCATTGCCACATGTCCTATTCAAATACTAATAAAGCTAGAATAATGTATAAAAGAAATTAAGCAAGAAAAACAAAAAAGAAACAATTTTTCACAGACGATTGAGTATTTCTCATTCAATTAATTCTGTTCTCACTTCGCGAGAAGGCAAAAATACATAAAAACTCAAAATATCTATATTAAAAATTACGAAGTAAATCTTAAACACTCATTTCCTCGAAAAAATTCCAGAAAGAATTAAGCATGATTTAATTGGCAATAATAAATGAATGCGTTATCTTTGTTGTTGCGAAGCTTAGTTTCTATAGATTGGCAACAAATCCACTAGTCTCTGTTTCAAATGTAAACGTCAATGGCCGCCATATAAAAAAGGCTTAGACAAATTTAAAATTGTTGATAATTCTCAAAATATTGCATACAGATTTACTAAAGGCATAAAAACCTTAACCAGAAGATAAAAACAACATAATACAATCATTTTTAAAGCAAAAAATGTACAATTTACAGACATGTAAAATAGGCCGTTTGGCGCGGCCTATTGCAACCAAAATACGAGGTGCACATCTACATGTTATAGCAGTCTTATATACAAAATTTCAACGTTCTGAGGCTACTCGTTTTTGAGTTATGCGAGATACGTACGTACGTATGTACATACGTTCGTACAGACGCCACGAAAAATTCTTTTCAGAATTCATTTTAAAGCAGTTTTATAATTTTTTTTGAAGGAAAAGGGTATTTTATTCTGTCCTTACCTACAGATATCACGCAAAAACATCGTTAAATTGCATTCGATAGCGGTCAAAATGGATATTTTTGTTGAAATATGCTGCCTGAAACTTTTTGCGATTACAATACTTCCTTTTTACTTCGTACAAGGAAGTAAAAACACAAATGAAATAAAAATTGTATTACATATAACAAAAATTACAATAAAATAAGCAATATCCCTTAATACAAATATTAATTATCCTGATAAATAAATTAACCAACTTCTCGTTGCCTTCTTTCGACAAACGTTCAGTATCCAAGAGAAACATTAAATTTAAAAACTGCACAGAATAATCGCCCTCCTTTTTCCAACTGGCAACAGTGCTGATTTTCGACAGTCAGCAGTCCAGTATACAATCGAATGAAAAACTGTTGCCAAAACCACATTTCTAAAAGAATGAAACTATTCAAAATGATGCGATAAAATCGAAGAGATAACATAAAAATATTTGATTCGAATTTTGAAAAAAATCGCTTCGAGGGGCTCTGGCTCTTGTCTAGATGCACCTATATACCAAATTTCGTAGCCCTGGGTCTTTTAACTTACTCGCAGCAGGAACGAAAGGCACACAGACTCTTTCTTTTGTTATATGTAAAGATTAAATTGCTATTAAGAGTCAGTTTTGAATAAAATAAATGGTAACCTCTAAGACAGTAAAAAATTTTTAATTTTAAATTGATCCTTTTATTTAGAGAGGGGGTAAGTTTTCTATATCTGTGTCCTTTCCCTTCCGAAACTAATTCCCACTAACTTATTTTTAGAGCTCGAAACCACATTTAAATAAGGCGGGGATTTTTTTCTAAATTCATATGCTCCAAGCAGTGATGAATCTTTAAAATCTTTAAACATATTTATTGATTAGTATGATACTTATAATCTATATTTGTTTCTTACTATTAACTTTTTTCTCTCCCTCCGATGATGGGGCAGCTATCCACTGGGCTTAGGAAGCTTTTCGGCCAAAAGCCTCACCATCAGAATCTTAGCTTATCCTCCAGGTTGGAAAACAAAACAAATATGCGTAGCTTATGGTAAGAAGCCTTACAGGGAAGGAGGGGATTCATTAAATTCAACCTGTTTGACATTAGTTCAGGATGAAACAAAAATGATTGGACTTGCCCACCAGTGGAAGAAAGACAGGAAGAAACTACACTCGTGGAATACTTATATAGGCGATAGATATATTAAGATGTGTTAGACAACTCAGCTCTGTGCATTACATTACTTGCAGCACCGAAGGAAAACAACAGCTGTAAAATAGCAGTCACTGAGCGATTAGCATACATGGAATATATACAGGACGAGTAACAAAACATACGCGGACAATTTTAACAATCGAGATTGCAAGAAGGGTACGCCCGGCAGCAGGACTGTATAAATACAATACTAACTGAAATAGTACTAAATAATATTATAATTAGAAAACAATATATTATTGTATGAATGCAAAAACCTTAATATTATGTACATTGCGGGGGGGACAGTTCTATATCTCCCTTTCTACTCAGCCGATTGACGAAATTCAAATTGCGTTTTTCATGTCTCGAAAGTGCGACTTAGGATATATATTACATTTATCTATAGCACTGTTCTAATATAGGTATCTTGACACAAAATCGGACTTTCTCTGAAATGACGTGCCAACTTTTTTCCATATTTCGATTCTACGACTCAAATTATGCCTAAATGTTAAATTTTGAAAAATTCAGTGCGAAATTTAAGGAGAAATTCAAAAATTTATCTTGGCGCATTTTTTTCAGTTTACGATGAAAATAATTCACTTGGCGAAATTCTTTATACAGCTATATAGCAAATTATAGCAACCTATTTTCCTTTCCTATTTTTCATTGTACACGAGAGGAAAAACGGTCATCTTTCGTACTTTCGAATAACTTTAACAAAGTACGTAAACCCCATTTGGCGTTATTATCGCTTATAACAAATATGCCAAGTTTAAAAACGCACTAATATGTAAATTCGAGTATATCTTAAAAAATTTTAAGTAAAAGACTAATTGGTATGCTTAGAAATGCATTTACTTTAAGATAATTTTATAGATTATAATTCAAAATTTTTTGGGGGGAAAATTTATAAAAATTATTTAAAAATAAAAATTTTAAAAACAAATCATAAAAAAATGGGCGAATTTTATTTGGAATGAACATAAATTTCGAAATGCGAAAGGAAGAATCAAATCAGTTTGATTAAAAAAAAAGAGATATTAATGAACATTGAGGAGCTAAAATTCTGAGAACTAATTTTTTGAAAATTACTCGTGCAATTTTTACAACACTTGGCATAATTTGAGTGTTAAAATCGAAATAAGGAAAAAAAACTACCATGCTATCTCAGATAAAGTGCGATTTGGGCCAAAATACCTCTATTAGAACAATGCTATATATAGATCTGATACATATCGTAAGCCGCGCTATCGAGACATGAAAAACGCAAGTT